CAATCCAATATTTTATGCGAGCTGCCCATTACCTTCGATTCTTGCCATGTCAATCTGTTTGTCCCTAAAGTGTCTCTACTAACTACCACTAAAATGAGGAAATATAAGGTTAAAGTTCGCGTGAGCCATTCATACTCGCTAAATTGTATCTCTGTTCCTAAGAGTCCACAGTTTTGCGCCACGCAACAGAATAAAGTACGTCCTTTCAAGGGTCGATTGTGACTTAGTGACGAAAGGATAAGAAAGAAGAGCTATGATTGCATGGAAAAAAGGGTTTCCATTGCGTTTGATCTCGAGAATAAAATATGTCATTTTCCAAAGTTGTGTTCGTTCCATGCGTTTCCAAAGAAAATCACTAATTTTATTTGTTTTCTCAAAAAAAAAAATTCCCCTTCAGGAAAGGCCAAAAGGAAAGAGGAAAGAAAGAAAGAAAAAATGTGGAATTTGGTGCAAATGATAAGAAAAGAAGAAGATGATAACTCATCTAAACTATTCCTCTCTTTTCACCTACCCAAGAAGAACAATCTCTCGTACATATTCATGGAACTGATGATGGAACGATGCTTACTAATTTTCGGGAAAATTTACGTAATTAATATTAAATCTATTATAATGATATCAATTCAGTCCTAATATTTTTAAATTTACTCAAAGTAGTTCTAAATTTTTACGTAAAAATTCGGAAGCAATCTTTTCTAGTCAGTTTTCACCCGTCTAGTCACGAAAAGCAAGAAAATCTTTTTAGAGAGACGGTATCGATCGCTCTTCGATCCGACAGAAACCAGACCACGCATCGATTCAAACACGTGTTTCGACGAACAATCATAAACCATTTGCACATAATTTCCACATACGACGGGATCTGGCGAAGATCCATGCATCCATGTGTTGCAGTAACTCACTATGCATATTTCCAAATGCTTCAACGTGAACTGACGTTGCTAGTTGCAAACATTGTTTGGATTTTGTAGGCCAAATCCTCCGCCAATGCACCCCCGATTTCAAACCACGTGGGACGAACAAGACAATCATCTTCTTGTCCACATCCCACAAAACGATCTTTTCTTCCTTTCTTTTAACCTCCATTAGTTAGAGTTTGCACAAGAGGACAAAAGCTCACTTCCTTCCACGTTTAGCTCCAGATAGGGATGCCATTCCACAAATGCTCACCATGCTTTTAAATTAATCAACTTTAATTGATGATCCACTAAATATAATAAATTTAACTCTAATGCATTTAAAATATGGGGGCATTCATGTGATGTGGAAATTTAATGATGATTTGCTGTTTGTGGTGCTTTTAACTATTTCTGTCCCACGTAACAAACGTTTGCCGACTTATTTACTAGTTGCTAGCCCATGTGATTGTGTACGTAAGTGTGTAACATCTGTAGTATTTTTCATAAGCAATATGCGGTAGCACCAAAGAGAGAGGGAGAGCATTTTGCTTTCGTCAAATGACCATATACATAGCAAACAAGAAACGATCCTGATATATCTCTCTCTACGACCTCCAAAGGGAAAATTATCCGATCAGTTCTCTAACCTATTGTACGGATGCTAATTTAGTCATAAATTTTTCAATTTTATCAATTTAGTCCCATACTTCTGTGCGAAATTCCAATACAGCCCTTCTAGTCAATTTTCGCCGGAAATCGACATCCGGCAAGAACCAGACTGCCACTTCAGCATTTCCCGGCAAGAATTGACTGGAATGACTAAACTGAAGTTTGCACAAAGGTTTAGGACTCAATTAATAAAATTGAAAAGTTTAAGATTGAATTAACATTCGTACAATAGGTTAGAGAACTGATTGGGTAATTTGATCAAACTCTCAAAATACGGGAATTCCGATCCTCAGAACTCGTACCCCGGGATCTCTCTATACCATGACATCTAGAAGCTCCAAAAAACATGGGGACCCCCCCCCTCCATCACCTGAATTCACACCGGAAAACTCCCTCTTTTGATCTATCACGTACGAATTCATCCACAAACATGTTCCCATTTCTCTGCGCTGTCTATCTGATTAATGCGTTCCTCAAGCTTTATATCGCGCCACACGTGTGGAGAAACGAATGGGGCTTGCAATGTATGGATGTGAGAGATGATGAGGGAAAAAAGTTCAGAGGGACTGCCACGCTGGAATGACGTGGACTCTTTGGATGTGATGGATCACCCCTTTATTTCCTACGGAAGAAATTACCTTCCAAGTCTGTCGACGTATCCAATTGAATTTACACTCACTCAAAAATTTAAATTAATGAGTCAACGGCTAATTAGAATTAACTATTTCATACCGTGGACTTTTCTCGCGCTAACTTACACTTGCGTCTCGGCAATTTCCTACTCACGTGTAAGCTCAATGTCAGGACTATTCCTCCTCAATTCATGCATCCTTCGCCCATGATCCGAACTGTGATGGCAAAGTACACACTTGGCAACCGTGAAGACTCATGAGATTCCTTGTTGAGTTCAGGATATCGATACACGTTGGGGACCCACCAATCAACCGTCGGCTCTAGTATCAATTGTTGGGTCGCCAAACAGAAGCTCGATAACTTCGCACTACCTCAATTCACCTACGCAAGATTTTTTTAATGCAACACACGCGCGCATCTCGACATAATCCATCATGTCTTATCCTAATCGGCTTCACATTTAGATTTCAAGAACCCTTAATTATGATCGACTCGTTTCGCCACGGGATGCACGGGCGCACACACACAAAAAAAAAGAGAAAAAGAAAGTAGCAGCTCCTCAATGGGGCCAAACGGTGAATGATTGATCAAATAAGTGAACGTTGCCAAAGTGCGTTTACTGGAGTCAACGCCCGGATCGGGCCACGTCCTGCGACAGGGAATCAGACAAAGGCCGTGACACACAGGTCCAGCCCCTCCCTTGGGTCCCCAAAGCTACGCGACGAACGATCGTTAGGACGTCCTCCTAAAGGTCCACATCCATCCTCCATACTGCACTCCTGATCATTCATAGATCCCCCACTTTCGTGCAATGAATGATTCGTGAAACTCGCCCTTTCTTTAAAGGGTCGATGTAGTGCCACGTCCGACGAGTTCACGCCACAATTTGGCTTTTTCGGTTGTTCTCGTGGTAACGCGCCGATCGATCTATCCGTCGCCAAAAGCACCGAAAAAGAGATTCCTCATGCCGGTGTTAGGTTCACACTATGGATGCACGCGTTGCATACCCGCCTTTTCAGCGAATGGGAATCGGGTTTCCTGTTTATGAGTGATGAGAGGCACGTGTGGAACGCACGCAGGAGATGATAAACGTGGAATTTGCCGAACCATGAATCGCATATCGCCCCAGGCCATAATGTATTATGTTGAACATCTTGATGCAGATGGGTCGTTTGCTTTGAGCTAAATTGACTAGGTGGACTCTATATGCGGCGCAAGCGCCAAGCATCTGCAAATTTTTGAAAGCCCGATTAGTACAACTCGTAGCTATATAGTCTACAGCCCGGTGCGTATCACTTCGCTAAAGAAAGGAAACAAAAAAATGTTGGGGTACGGATCGGTAGAGCAAACTTCTTAATCCAAAATCACCTGTCATCTTTTGTTTCTTTTGATGAGTACTCTTGTCCTTTCTAACACCATCAAGGGGCGAATATTTAAAGGGATAATGACCCAAATAGTTACTAAACTTTAACCTAATATTCAATTTGGTCCATGAATTTTTTATTTGTTTAATATAGTCCCTGAACTTTAGCCCAATCTGCAATGTGATCCCTAAACTTTTAATTTGTTCAATGTAATCCCTAAACTTTTGATATATGTTCAATTTAGTCTCTAGACTATATGAAAATGTTTAATATTGACCTTCTATTAATTCAAGATCAGGGACATCATTGAACATTTCCATATAACTAAGGGACTAAATTGAACACGTACAAAAAATGTAGGGACCAAATTGAACAAATAAAAAGTCCAATGATCATATTGCACATTATGTTAAAGTTCAAGGTCCACATTGAACAAATTAAAAGTTGAAAGACCACATTGCATATTAAGTCAAAGTTGAAGGATCATTCATGCCATTTTCTCTTATGAAAGAGAGAGAGAGAGAGAGAGAACTAAATAGAAGTCGTACTCGGCAACCATTCAAGAAAGCAATGAATGTCAATTGGGTCAAAAGAAGCAACCATTCCAGAAAGCAATGAATGTCAACTGGGTCAAAAAGAACGAATGAAAACGAAAATCATCAAAAGCTCGGTCGCCGTACAGTGCCGGCAGAATTTGACTCTGGAATAAAATATACATAAACTGCTAGCCTCCAGAATATAATCTGTTCCTCTGTGGCTAGATTAACATAACACCAAGAAAAACTACGTCCTCCCTATGGGCGTGTTCCTGATAGTAAGATTAAGCATTACGTTATAGTGAAGATCAAAGCTTAAGATTGATTGAAGCTCTAGTTAATCTGGCATTGTATCAGCAAAATATCCACAGGCAAAGTTAATGAGGATGATCAGCCCAACTGGGACGCACAAGCTGATTTCTACAAGAACAGTCCAAAGGTAATCGCTATAAACTGTCAACATTCGCAGTTACGATGATTAAACGACAAGCACAGAACGAGAAACTCAGCTCATCATCGTCCAGGATCCACATTAAAGAACCGAAATGCGCATACCAGGGACAAGTTATGGATGATATCACCAGAATTTCCAAAAGTCACAAAATTTTATCAAAGAGCCAAAGCCCGAAAAATTAATTGGACTGAAGCTATGAAGCTATCTATTGTACATCAATGACATGATCTAAGCAAATGGTTAATAGGAAATGGATATCCCAGAAAAAGACCCAGGCAAGTCAATGTGTGTCCGTTAAAGTGATCCTGCGATTACTATTCCAGAAAAAGATATTGGATGCCATCACAGTGAATCCGAGAGGAATGAAAACCACAAAGACAATCAACAGGTGGTAAGACTATGGAATATTGGGATCGGTAATGAGTAAAATATACAGAAAACACAATATATCCATAACTGGAGATTCTGATTAAATTGCCGCCAGAAAGAATAACAAAATCAGGTTCCTGTCAATCTTATGCCGTGTGCTTTCTGTATCATACAACATGGGTAGTTGGTAATCGCTCCAAAAAAGAGGGTTTGAGCTACCAGATCGTGGGCAAGCCAATTTCGCCCCTTCCAATATATCTTAAACTAGCACTGGATTATAAATTAGACAAATAACCATAGGATCTACCAAAAATGAGTAACCTTATTAATGTCTTCCTCATGAAACCACCCCTCCATTTGTCAGCCTAGTCAATCCCGCAGTAGCAACTGGAAAAGTTTGCATAACTTGCTATTCCAAATGTAGTCTCTTTTTCATAGTCTCGTAAACCATATAAGTAATGCTTGCTGATGGAACAACTTTGAGCAAATTAGGGAAGATTCCTTTGTAGAATCCCCTAAGCCCCTCATGTTTAAATGTTTTCCTAAATACATCTGACATGCCTTTGTATGCAGCATCTGTATTGGGGCGCTGGGCTTGCATTCTAAAATCAAAAGCAAAGTTAGGATGGGATGCAAGAAATTAGATATCCTAGTCCCAGATCTAAACAATGAGTGCACAGGTAGGGAAATGAGAAGATGAGATGGAACCATTTGGACATACCTTGTCCTTACGACTTGCAAAGGGTAGACACAACTAGCTCCAAGAGCTCCAGAGGTCATCCCACAGACCAGCTGCACTAGAGGGCCAGGCTCTACAGCCATTAAAAACAACATTAATAAGAATAAGCTCCAGGCACAAGTAGAACTCCACAATCACTGTGAAACGGCGAAATAAAGGTAGTAAGCTATTTCAGCAGTCGTGACAAGCTTACCACCATCCTGAAGAATGTACTCCTTGGACAAATCTTTGAAGGTTTCATATGCAGCAAGGTCAATGCCAGCATAAGGAATTATCCCAATCAGAGATGGAACAACCCCCCTATAAAATGCCCGAGGCCCCTCCTGAACCCATATATCCCTAGTCATTTGTCCTATACTAGGAAACTTCCCTCCGTCAGGAACATGAGTTTGCAATCTAGTTTTCACAAGATCCATGGGATAAACAGCTGATTGTGCTACAGCTCCTGCTAAACCACCAGCAAGAAGGCGCCCCATAGGCCCGATTTCGGCCTTATCTTCTCCTCCTTGTGCGGTCACAATGGCACGTTTCAGCATTTCATAAGTATAGAACCTTATAGCACTCTCAGGTGCCACTTTCACAACATTTAATCCATTGCCCCGGAAAAATCCCATAAGACCTCCGTCATTCCATATTGACTTTATTGCAGGCATTATACGAGTACGGGTGGTTTGCACTTGTAAAATAACTTTCAACCGGTCAAGTGGGGCAGTTGCAGTACGAGATGCTGCTCCAGCCACGGCTCCTGCGATAAGATATCTGCTTGCATGGACGTGTTTACTAATGCCCTCTGGTACCACAGTTTGTTCTCCAATATCAACAAGGCAAACTCTTTCCAGGTAATGATAAATGTTCTCCATAGTTGCCTCGTGAGGGTAAAGCAGAAGAAAATCTCTCCATTCTTCAAAGGTTATGACCCCATTATTGTCCTTATCCACACGCTCAACAAAACGGGCAAGCTCCGCGTCATCAATTTTAATGCCTGCAAACAAGAGTCTGGTGTGGCTTATAGAATGAAAATAACCAATCTATGCAGATCCATTAATAAGCATTCCTTTGTTAAGAATCCATGAGTGCTAAACATCAAACTGATCAATTCATTCAATTATGAACATCTACCTAGCCAGATGAATTGTTACTTGCCGCATGTATTTTGCTAACTGCCTTCACAACATAAAGAGGAATAATCAAGATGGTTGCTGAATCAATTTTGACAGGTCAATATCAAACATCACATGATGCAAGGCTGGGACTCAATAAAAGTATCTTTTAACTGAAAGACAAGTACAGAGCCCCCAAGGTCAAAGACACTGCGATATATCAAATACAACAATAGTAAGGGAAGAATAGGGTAAAGTACTAGTCACCATTTACCACCAAAATAAACGGCGAGTGCAGAGGGGAAGGGGAAATTTTGGTTTTGGCATTCTTCTTCTTCTTCTATCGATATTCAGAAGTTTCGGAAAATGTTTTAAGTCTTACTCTCTTTTTTTTCATGACAAAAATAACGGAAATTAATAAAGACAATTTCGGTTACACTTGGCAGAATGTGAAAGATTCACTTACTACTGGGGATATTGTACTCAACTACGAAGAGCTCTTATTAACTCTCTTCAAATTCAAAAAAAGATTCGCTATGAAAAATATATGCATGCAACAATCCGTCAAGCTTATTTCCTACAGTCCATATACATCATCCTGCAGGCTAACATAATCTCTTTCAATTCGACTGATTTTTTATTTTATTTTTTTGGTAGGGGCACTGACGACAAGAACATATCACTGATCAGTACAGGAGATAAAACGAAGCAAGCAATTATTGCATTCAGGGAAGAAAACTAATCGAGTCCTGTCACAATATGCTGTGGTTCAAGGTATTAAAACAAGACTAGGATAATACCGTAAGTGCCTAGCGAATCGCAAGGACATTGGCGATCCCAATTGAGCGTGACCTCAAATTGATTGTTCAACAGACATGATTTACAATCTTCAAATCAGCCGACGCGAATCAAATCGAGCAACCAAATCTAAAATCAGAACTCTCAATCCATTGAGAACACTAGCCATCCAGCAATCAGCATCTCAAATGAAGTAAACAGCAAAGAGTTCAAATAAGCAACACTTCAGGAACGAACGGACAGGAGCTCATGACAGACAGTATTACCTGCCCTAAGGAGAGCATCAAACAGCTCCTCAGGCAAAATGGAACCATTGTGCTCCACATCAATGGCTTGAAAAATGCGGTAAAGCTCGAGCTCCTTGTCGTCCATGTACCGCTTAAACTCCTGGTAATCCACGCGCCCATCCTTGTTGGCATCGCACACGTTCAGCAAATCCTTCGCGTACTTGTACCCCGAAGGTATTTGCAAGGCGGAGAGGCCGGTCTCGATCTGCGCATAATCTAAGTAGCCAACATTCTCGGCATCGAAGAAGCCGAACATGCTCCTGATTCTCTGCTCCCTCTCTTCCTTCGTCTCCCCCAACGCCAGCAGCACGTGATCCATCGACGCCGGGCCCGGCTTTCCGACCGGATTACGCCCGTTCGATCGCCGCCCTCCTTTCTCGTTCTTCGCGCGCGCCTCCATCGCTCTTATCGAAACTCAAGCCGAACAGAACTCCCCCACACCTAAACAAAATCCTCCGATCCCAAAGAAGAAGGGAGGAACGATTCCAAAACCTCCTTCGAGCTATGCAGCTCGTCACGGCAGAATCAATCCCTGCGGCCGCACCATAACCTGATCGAGATCCGCGCCGAAATGCGGACGAACAAAGTAACCCCCAGCAGCAGCTCCTCACCGATTACAGAATCGCGAGGAGCAACGCGGGCGGCGAGAATGCGATTCGCAACGAACACGAACGCCTAAATCCGAGTCCAATTTAGGTCAAAAAAGCGACCGGCGAATTCAAACACGCGAAAGACGGAGCGTCAAAGAAGGGAGAAGGACGGGCGAGGCGGGCGGCGGGGAGACCCCGGCCGAAGACTTAGGGCCGGCGGAGCCCGCCGTGCGGGGCGGGGCGGCGAGAGGCCATCGCCGAGGAGATTCCGGCCGGAGGCGGGGGAGGATCGCCGGGCGGTGACCGCTTCAAACGGCGGAGGAGATGCCCATGTCTGAACGGAAGGGGAAAGGAGGCAGCAGAGAGGCGGCGAGATCGAGAGCGAGAGAAATCGAATCGCTCGATTTTTCCTCTTATTTTTGGTATGCTTTTTGTTCAAATTCGAATATTTATTTAAATTTCGACCCAAAAAACAAAAGAATATTTATTTAAATTATAATGAAAAATGTGATTCCGATCGACCGGACAGGACAATTTACGAGACGAAGAAGGGAAATTATGGGGGAAAAAATAATATATTATTTCCTTTTTCGATATATATCTAATATATATTACAAATTTATCAAAAATTAATTTTTTTGACCATATAAAAACCGTTAAATTTACCATCCGTTAAATTTTACCGTCAAATTACGGAGTTCGATGACACGTGACAACTGAGGGGTGTACCAGTTTGGGGTTTTACCCCCCCAGTTTGTCACGATTTGTGATTTTTCGTGATATTAATCCAATTTAACGGAAACTAACGGAGGGTAAATTTATCACAAACGTATCTATTTGGGATTTTTTGTTGATCAAAAAATTAATTTTTGGGTATATTTGCCACATGTGTACCAATTTGGGGTTTTTCATGGTATTTGACCCTTTTATATTTTCGCGATTCAAAATTTCCCGAATATTTTTCCTCTTTTTTTTCATTTCATTCTTGCCGACCCTGATTTACCTCTATTTATATTGATAATTTCCGGTATTTGTGCCAAATGGGGTAAAAAATAAATCATATTATTTCCCAAAAAATATTAGAAATTCGTGGTTCCAAAAAAAGAAAAAGGAATATTCGGTCGTGTTTCGTGTTTTTGGAGGTGGCCTTTCGTTGGAGCCGCGGAGGCATATTCGTCGTTGGGTGGGTGGGAGTCCCACTGTAGCGTGAACGCTAAACAAATCGCAGAGATTCGGAGGCCCATGGTCGCCGGAGGCACCGAGGCCCCCCCGGCCCGTGAGAAAACGGAGGGAGGCCCGCCACGGGGTCCGGTCCGATCCGTTATCCTGTCCGGCGCCCGGGCGACGCCCGTCCTTTCCGGCGGGATGTGATCGGATCGGACACGCCCGGGTATGGAGCCTCGCCCGAGGATTTAGGAACGGGTTCGAATCAAGGTCCGCACGATCGGTCGCCGGGCCATATCGAACTTTGATTGCAAGTCGGGCTATCGTAGTATGGACCGAACCGAACCCGTGCTCGATAGCTAGGCAAAAGAAGAAAATTCGGGTCCGACGGGTTATGTTTTTACCCCCCTCGCTCTATGTTTGGCGAGAGAAATTGCTACACGAGGGTAGCACATGTATCGAACTTTGATGGTGGATTTTCTTGAAGCAATAGAACTAAGTACCAAGAAAAGAATGGAGTGCATTGCGGAAAAGTAAATTGCAAAGAGTTTAGTGCGAGAAAATAAACGGACGATAAAAGACAAAAATTTTTGATTTGAGTCTTTTATTGATTCCAGCTCTAAAAAGTCCAATGATATATATATACACTTATATAAACTTTGGTGAAACATAGATTACACTATGTGAAATCGCATTGCCAAAATTTCCATATATCGTCCGCCTAGGCCGGTATTGAATTGTTTGTTATCCCTTCCCTTCCCTTCACCCCCGGCGACGTTTCCGCCTCCGGCGTCACATAGTATAGAATCGATATAGTTGTATGGTGGACGATCTTATGAGCATGGTGGAATTCGGCACGGGGGGATCGGCGGCCACGGCCTCGGAGGAGGGAATGGGGGCGGTACAGGCGGCCATGGGTGCGGCGGGCATGGATGCGGCCGTATGCATGGGATCGGGGGCGGCACCGGAGGTGGAGTCGGCGGCATCGGGCATGGCTTCGGGGGCGGCACGGGTGGTGGCACGGGTGGTGGCCCAGGTTTGGGTGGCTCGGGCGGTTTAGGCCCAGGCCCAGGCCCAGGGTTAAAGCAAGATTGGAGACAGTTCAAATTGGTCATGGCGCAATTGAAAGCGCAAATCCTGGGATGGTGCAACGTCCTAGCGCACTTGTAGTTGCACTTGACCAACTTGAGGTCGCAATCGAGGAGGCACTGTGCAGCCGGTGCGGGTGGCACGGGCGGTATGGGTGGTGCGGGCGGGTCATGGTGCTTGCCCTTACCCTTACCCTCGACTCGGCCCGTGCCGGTGCACAGTAGCAAGATCAACAAGGCGAGGGCGCGCACCGCGGATCTCGGGCTCATGGCGCTCATGGCTTGGCTCGTCGGGGTAGTGTTCTTTCGGTTCTCCGACGAGACATTTCGGGAGGGATCGGGGTGATTATAAACAGATCGGCGAATGGCCAAAAGGGGAGGTCGAGCGATCATGGCGTTTGGAACAACGTCTTCATCGAGTTCGCATGACGTCGCTTTGCGAGGCTTGTTGTCACGGCATGCATGTTTTGTTTAGTTTCTTTGGGAGATTTAGGCGAGGATCATGTACTACTAATGCGAGCTTAGCATATATCCACGCTAAGTATGATCGAGTTCTAAAAATTTTCTTTTGTGGAATTAAATTTTGAAAGTTTTTAGTGGATAAATCGATCAAGTCTCCATATGAAGAATCTCACAGGCAGAATGGCAATTTAGTCTGCCTTTGTTTTTTTTTTTTTTTTGCTAAAAGCAATTTAGTCTGCCTTAGCAAATACCTTCATTGTATTATCCCTAATGGGGATTGATAAAAAGGTTAATATTATGAAAAACTCCAACTTGGTACATCTGTGACAAATTTAGCCCAAACTAATTTTTTAACCATAAAAAATCTCAAATCGGTACACCTGTAATAAATTTACCACAAATTAATTTTTTGACCATAGAAAACCCTAAACTGGTACACATGTGACAAATTTACCATAAATTAATTTTTTAATCACAAAAAACTCCAAACTGGTATACATATAACAAATTTACCCCAAACTAACATTTTGACTATCAAAAACCCCAAACTAATAATCCCGTGACGAATTTATCCTTCGTTAACAGATAAATTTGGGGTTTTACCCTATAGATTTCCACGTTAACTTGCCACGTCATCATACCACGTCACCATGTGTCTTTCACGTTAGCAAATTTAATGGTAAAATTTGACGAAAAATAACAAAGATATATCAGTTTGAAATTTTTTATGATAAAAAGATTAATTTTTGATAAATTTGTCACGAATATATCAATTTAAAATATTTCGTGATCAAAAAATTAATATAAAATAATTTATTATAAATATATCGATTTAAAATTTTTCGTGATATTAACCCTCGATAAAACCCGTAACAAGTGGCTTTCCGGCGGTAATGGGGGCAAAAATATTGCCCCACAAAATGGGTGGGGTGAGGATGGATTTGGTCATCATTATCTCTTGTTTTGACCTGTCCCGTCCCGTCCCGTCCTGCAGCCAAGCCCCACTTATATATTAAGTTTAGTGTTAATAAGTATTTTGCATAAAAAAACAAGGACCTCTTTTGTCATTTTTTTAAAATTTGAATAGTACTAAGACGATAATTTATTGTTACTTTTACAAGGATTAGAAAAATGGCATGGTGCCAAATTTAAGTAAACTTTTGGAATTAAGAAAGACTAGAGGCCGGACGAAACAGGCTACGGTGACACGTGAATGCCTCATGAAAGTGGGGGATGGAGGGGTGTCGATGGGAAAACATTTTCCAAAGGACTTTGGTCCGCACAAGGCAAATGATGTTTAGCAATTTTTTTGAAAGTGTTAGGGAGAAGCAATTGCATTTCTAAAGGTCGGGCCTTAAGCTTAAGGTAGGTCCGGAGATGTTTTGGGCTTTGAGTATTTCCGGAATGTTAATATATTCTTTTCTTTCAACTTTATGCTCGCAAAACTTTCATAATTCCTAAAATGCTCTCATCTCGTGCGACGTCGCCGGCGAAGGGCTCAGGTCGCCGACCCTGACCAGATCTGGCATCAAGAGCCCTCGCATGAGGTCAAGCGACTCCGGAGACACAGCCTAGGGTCTGGGACCATGCAACCCCCGGCGACTTCATGTAAGGGCCGCCGATGCCAAATCTAGCTCGTCGGCAGCTGAGGGTGCGCATGGAATGCATTCCGGAATAAAAATTCTGTTCCGGAACAGAATGGCGTTTGTTAAAAAATTTCCCGAATGCATTCTGGAGCGATTTTTGCATTCTGGAATAAAAATGCGTTTGTTAAAAATACTTGATTCCAGAATGCATTCTTGATTCCAGAATGCATTTTTGATTCCGGAATGAGTTTTTGGCAAGAAAAAGAGAAGCTACTTTTTGGAGCTTCTTGATTCCGGAATGCATTCTCCCTATTTTCTCACAATTTTTTTTTTCAGAAAATGCATAAAAATTGAAAAATTCTAGAAAATTTCATAAAAATTTCCGGCAAATAAAAAAAAGTCAGATTTCGGGAAAATATGAAATTTGGTGAATTTTTTTTTTAAAAATAAAAAAATAATCAAAAATTTCAAAACTTTACAGAATAGCTTAAAACACATGTGGCCACCCACTTTGAGTGAAATTTAAATTTTTTGAGGTGCCCAAAAAAATCAAAAATTTCAAAACTTCACAAAATGGCTTAAAATACCTGTGGCCACCTACTTTGAGTGAAATTTAAATTTTTTGAGGTGCCAAAAAAAATAAAAATAATAAAAAAAAAAAATTTTCAAAACTTCACAAAATGGCTTAAAATACCTGTGGCCACCCACTTTGAGTGAAATTTAAATTTTTTGAGGTGCCCAAAAAAATAATAAAAAAATAAAAAATTTGAAAATTTCACAGAATGGCTTAGAATATCTGTAGCCACCCATTTTGAGTAAAATTTAAATTTTTTGAGGTGC